TGTTGACCCCATTATACAGTCGCCTTCTATCCCTCCTTAAATTGGCTAAATGTTTTAACCATTAAACTGGTTGACATTTTTTCTCTGGGTAGGTTAGCGGACAGACTTTTTCATAGCTGATTGTACTGATTGTACTCCCAAAAAATTTTGCATTTTGAGCTCTCATTGGACGGATTATTGTCACATGAAAGAAGTAGGTCCACGCTTTGAAATGAGCCCCATTAGGCTTTTTCGGTAATTTTTGTCTGTTTGTCTTGTCTGTGTTCACATCTTCCAGCTGAACGATGTTGGCCCTGGAGTTGAAAGGTAGATGTCAGTTAACATCGTATTTCGCACTTATTTCATTATTTTGTTGAAAAATTGTATATAGTGAAAATAAATATTCTTTATTTTGTTCACAAAAAAATCCACTGAATTCAATATGATAATACAAATTGAAAAAAATTGACAAAAGAAGAATTACATATTTGAAAAATTTTCAACTTGTTCGCTGATTTTTTACAGCAAATGTTTAAAGATCCTTACAAAGTTTATCAATAGAATGTATTATTATTTTAAAATCCGATTCCAATGAAATTTTTTTCGATTTTTCCCGATTTGAGAATTTTTGAAACGAGATCTCTTTTTTCGTGATTTTTTAGCGTTTTAGAAAAAGTAATCATCTTTTAGCTTTGGTGTTAAATTATTTCAATATCATCTATTTCGATTCGCCACCACATAATTCGGTACTACACTTCCATGTAACCCGACATCAATTTCAGTTCTCAAGAAATCAAGTCAATTAAATAAATTGGTATTAATATTCGAATTCAAAAATAATATATAAAAAACACTACAAATGTACATTGGAAAAAAAGTAAGTCAAAATGGAAAAAATCATGCAAAATAGAACATTACTATTGTATATTTCAAAAGTCAAAATGAGAATGTTAATGTATCATTTAAACATTTTTACGCGATTTTTTTGGATATTATCCTTTTCGGACAGGAGAAAATTCCGAATTTGTATGAATCGTTAAAATCAGTCCAGCGGTTCTTAAGTTATAAGCGTAGTAACTAACGTAACTTTTATATATATATATATATATATATATATATATATATATATATATATATATATATATATATATATATATATACACTGGTGGCCAAAACTAAAGCAACTGAAATTACAAGGACATTCATTCCCCTGTAACTTTTTCAAAAATTAAGAAAATGAGAAAGTTTTTCTTGTTTTAAATTAGGTACTTTATTCATTTTTTAAAAACCTAAAACATAAAACCAAAATTCATTTTTATATAAAAAATTATGTTTGGTAAAGTCAATTAACCCGATTTTGGCTTGGACAAAACAAAAGCAACTCTGTTGTACATTCATATAACCGCTGCAATTTCAGTGGTTTTTACTGTGATATTTATCGCTTTTTGCTTCCTTCGACAATTTCGCTTGTCATAAATCCTTTTTGAGAAGTTTTTTACAACAGTATGTGTTTTTCTTTTCGTTTTTTAAGTACTGCCAAAAAAAATTTTAAATGGCTAGAAGCAAATACTATACCTGAATAAAACAGCAAATTATCAGTGATTATCAAAACAACATATCACAGAAAATGATTTCCGAGAAATATTTCATAAATATTTATGTGATTTCATAATTATGTCTGTGCACTAAGTCGGTTTTTTGAAACTGGATCAGTAGTAACAGTCCATAACGGATGAAGGCCGTGAAGAACTTCAGCCCATACTGATACACAAATTGTGAGAGAAATAAAAAACAACTATTTAAGAGTTCAACAGGATTGGTGAGGGAGCAATCATTGGATATAAGCTCGAGATCAGTGCGTAGACGAGTAGTGGCAGCTGGTCTGCGTGCCCGTAAGACATCAAAAAACCATTTATATCTGAAAAAATCAAAAAGGCTTTCGGAAACGATAATATTAAGTGGAATCAAGCTCAATGGAAAAAACATTATTTCTGGGATGAGTCTACGTTTAATATTAAAGGCTCAGACGTGAAAAATTTTACGGTGAGAAGACCAAAAAATGAAGGACTCAAGCCGCAGTGTTGCAAAGGTACAGTGAAGCATGAGGGAGGGTCAAAAATGGCGTGGCGCTGTTTTTTCTTTCTATGGACTTGGGCCTATCCACAAAATAAAGGAAGTTGTGGATCGGTTTGTTTACAAAGATGTGTTGGACATCACGTTGTTCCCTTTCGCTGAGTAAAATATTCGGCTGATTTGGGTGTTTCAGCATGACAATGATCCCAAACTTGTATCAAAACTTGTCAAATATTGGTTGCGGGAGTCAAAAATTCATGTTTTGTTATGGCCGGCACAATCACCTGACCTAAACTCCTTAGGAAACCTTTGGAGTATCGTAGATATGAAGATCAAGAGAGATTCGGAAATAAATAAGCACAAAATTTTATAAAGAATTCGGAGTGCCTGGGAAGGCACACCCAAGGATCAAATTGAGCGTGTTATAGATTCAATGCCTCGTAGGTGTGCAGCTGCTATCAAAAATAATGGTTATGCTATCGACTACTAGCCAAAATTTAATTATTTTAAAATAAAAAATCAAAAGTTGCTTTAGTTTTGACCAAGCAAAAATTGGGTCATTTTAGTTTTCCACATATTATTTTTCGTTCAAACTTATTTTTGTATTTTTATTTTTAGTTTCTTGAAAGTGAATTAAACCCCTCATTTAAAACTGGAAAAATAATTACGATTCGTTCATTTTTGTAAAAGTTACAGGACATTTATTGTCTTTGCGATTTAAGTTGCTTTAGTTTTGGCCACCAGTGTATATATATATAGATTTAACTCTGTTTTCAATGGCAAAATTTACACAGAATTAAGTCTTCGGCTATGTGTTCTTGATTTATACTCATAGAATTGTTAGGTACAAATAAAATAATAGCTCCAAATGGTTATTAGTGGTCCGTGGTACGTGAGCATGTATGTAGATATTTGTTGTATTTCGTTGGCAAAACTCGTTGTTTTGGGTCTGTTATTAATAGTTCAATATAGCTTTAATATTTTTTCTTAAACCGATTAAGTAGATCTTTTGTGTTTCAGAAATCTTTCTTGATGTATTTTCATCACTTTTACTCCCTAAGTTGCCCTAAGTTGTTGCAGTCCCGCTTACAGCACCCTATATTCATCTATACAAAAAATAACGACTAAACTTATTGTAAAACTATAAAAGAAAGTAAATTAAAAACGTGATGACACCCGAAAATTGTAGTAGTTCTTATTTTTGCTGTAATGTAGTGTTTAATTCATATAATTTGAAAATTTTCCACATTATATATTAGCTAATAATATCAAGAATTAAAATAATTTCAAAAACCATAAATTTCAAAATCTTAAGAAACAAGTTGAAAAATATGATTTTTTAGAATGCTAACTTGCTAACCATTATGATGTGGTATGCCTATATACTAATAGATGTATGTAATGTTGTCATGTATTAGGGCCAGACCCATTTTATAATTACACCCAAACTCCATATCCCTAAAAATAACAACTACTGGAATTAAAAATTTCGCTGAGATAAAGACATATAAAAAAGATTCTGGTTAGAGTTTGTGATCGGATATAGCAGACCAAAAACAAAATTTAACAACATCTCGGTCTGGTTGCTAGCCACTGCTGCTACTGCACTGGCTGTTGGCGTTGCGTATTCTTTATGTACGTTTTGCATTCGTTCTGTTATATAGTTGTTGTACACTAATATGGCTGCTGTACTTTTGTTGTTTTTGTACTGTATATTTTTTGATTGATGTACATTTGATGGTAGTTTGTTGGCAAATATAGATTGCTGTAACACTTCGTATCAACATATCAATTAAAAAAATAAAAACATATCAATTAAAAGTTTTTATGGGAGAACTCAATCATACACGCTATGATTATAACTATAATTTAAAGTTCAAAGACCTAAATATGTCGAAGCATTTGTATCTTTTAAATTCGGACTTGTATTGCCCATTTGGTGCAAAATTAATTTGAATGGGATCAAAATATATATGGGAGCTATATCCAAATCGGAACCGATCTCGATTTCTGAGCTGTGTTTGATATATTTTCCTGAATATCGTTGTTACGGAGTGCATATTAGGGCTGTGGGTAACAAATCGGATGAAAAATATGTATGACAGCTACAGCTATATCTGAACCGATTTCGATCAAATTTGGCATACTTATTTTCAGGCCTAATTGTTTACAAAAATACATGGACAGACGGACAGACTTAGAATGTGATTTTTTTTTTGCCTGTTACAAACAAATGCGTAAAGACATAATAGCCTGACCACCTTGTGGTGTAGGGTATAAAAAAATAGTTGTAACAACAACTTTATACAACATTCATATTGAAATAAAAAATTAACAGTTAAGTTTATAGATCGTCAAACTAAAAACCAAGAAGCACTGACGTAAAAAGTTTAATTTTAAAAATAATCATAACACAAAAATTAAGGAGGAAACGCCCCACCGTTTCTAGTATATACCAGGATACAATGCAAATATATGGAATGGGTACTTTATGTTTGTTTGGAACAAAATATTGTCACATCTTGAAATATTTATCATAAACCTATATTTTAGCATTCCCCATACCGGATGGAATTACGCAGTGATTCTCCCTAAATCTACATGAAGGCTTAGGTAAACCCAGAGTATATTTGAGCACACACCTTATTTTGTTATTTTGCTTTTGATTGATTGTTATATTAGCATAATTCTACGTTTTGGTTAATAATATCCATTATTTTTTCAAGAGTATAGTAAGTTTTTCTTAAGATTCAGAACTGCTGAAATCACCTTATACATCATTTTAATGCACCCTTCTATGTTGTCTGTCGCTGGGATTAAACAAACAATCATCTGATTTGTAGTTAAACACACTGCACTTTAAACTTTAAGGATTGTTATCGTTATGATCGTACAATACTTTTCCTTTTCAATTACTAATTTAAAAACTGTACATTTCTTTCTTACAGGTAGACGGAAGTGTTACCCAAAATTTGCACGTTTCCTTGTCAAAGTACCAATACGAACAGCTGATTGAATCATTGAATTACGCTACAAATATTGTACTGGCAGAAGGGTTCTTTACGTCGAATGAAGACGAAAGATATCTCGAAGTAAGAGAAAATCTTTGTGCAAAAAAATCATCAAATATCCAAGTGATAAGCGTACAGTTTTCCGTCCCAATTCTAAAATTTGATTTACGTAATGAGCACAGAGTATCATTGATCCAACTCACATTTCAAGAGTTTAGCTTTAAAAATATAAATATTGCTGGAAAAAAGAAAGAATTTGAAATTTTGCTTCGCTCTGTTATCATGGAAGATTTGAAATGTCCTGTAGCATCTAAGTATCGAAAAATGATAAACTCCTGTAATGACATGAATGAACTGCAGTTCACTTTTCGAAAACAAAAATCAAGTTCTTGCTCTGACCTTTTAAAGAAGACAAATTTATGTGCATGTAAAGTATATGGTTCCACACCTTCAAACCTTAACAAGTTAGTGAAACCATCGATTATAAAACGAGAAGAAAAGTTTAAAACTCTTAAAGTATTAGATGATATCAATTTAAATAATCAAAAGATATCTGCTGACAATCTAGTTATATACAGATCAACAGCGAGCTACTCGCCCCGCAAGGAAGACATTGCTGCCATCAGGAGTTCAATTGATTTTAATTGTTTAAATTTGATTATATCAATTGACAAATGGTTCATGGTATTTGATTTCTTTGGATTAATAACCAGTCATCGGGAACAAGAAGAACCCTCAAATAAATCTAATGAGAATGGTAAGTTCATTATCGCTCCAGAGGCATCTAAAGTATTTAATAATATGTAAGATAAATACCTTGACTACTTCTTAAAAACGGATACAGAGACCGCGACAACTCGCAAACATGCAATTTTTATCGCAGTTCGTTTACCGCTTGTTTTGCTGTTAGGTTGTTTCTATCGGGTTGATATGTCGGTTATCTGTATGGAACAAATATAACTCATTTATTTCCCGTTTGACTCAACTTTTATTTGCGTAGAGTTTTATTTTTTATAACTATTAAGAATCCTTTCGAAAAAAACATTTACCAACAACATTTATTGTAACTAGGTAATTTTCTAATTCATTTTCGGAAATAAACCGAGCAAAACATATTCGGCCCAATTGCGGTTGTAGTTTCTCGTCGTCGTCGACGTTATGTGCAAGTCGCCATCGCCGTCATTTCAAAAATGGTATTACGGTAAGGCATAGAAGCGACATCGGAAGTTTAAAAAAAGTTGGCAGACCTTCCTTCTTGTTGACAAAAAAGAAAAAATGTTGTTTGCAGCAGCGGGTCCTAAGGCAGCAAACAAACATATTTGTATTGTCTGTAATTAAGGCTTAACTCTAGTTTAGTAAAAACTCTTTAATTTTTTTGAAATATTTCCAGTGGTAGGTATTTTTACCCTGATTCCGGGAAACTATGTTTTTCGGAGGACGGACCCGGGATCCTAGATTTTGACCCGAAATTCCGGGTTCAAGTCCCGGATCCACTTACCCAATATATACAATATAGTTCTGGAAGTTATAGTCAAATTATCGATTTTTTAGACCCGGGTTTTTTATAAAACCACCAAAAAGTCGAAAAAGACCCCAAAAAATGTATGCCAAATTATAGGTGACACTCTTACCTTTCCAAAATGCGACAATATTGCTAATACCTATTCTGGGTATGTTTTCTAAATTTAACAGTTATTGTAAGTAGCCGGCCTTCGGCCCCATCATGTGACCACTTGTTGGATAGCAAACAATACATATATTGCCTATATCTGGTAAGAGCATCTGGTTCTTGAACTCGGACTTTCAAGTTTCACGGAATCGCAAGTAGTGTAATTCTCAATATGAAGACCGCAAATGGATCAAGAAGTCTGACTTCAAATCATAGCATTGACCAAGATGATTTAGAAAATGTTTGAGTTTTAAGTCCTAAATATCATAATGATGTTGATATTGTTGATATTTTTAACATTTTAGAATTGAGTGCCATTTACATTTTCACTCATACCCCTGAAACGACATAGATCCAAATTTTTCCGATGATAAGCGGTGAGAATATTTCTTTGTCTATATTTTCATTTACCTATATCATAATATAGTGTTACTAATGCAAACCTTAATCATTTATATTCAAAGCTATTAAAAGCGTCGGTCATATACATAATCCACTCCACGCTTTTATAGCTGGTTTATATTGGGGTCTATAATATTTATTCTTCTTATGTTCCACCTTAGCGAAGAAAATTAAAAGCTCCCATTGTCAATTTTTACCAACAACAATAGCACTATACTATTCTTGTTCAAATCTAATAGAAACATATGAGGTGTTATGTGGTAAGGATATTCTTTATTCCCTAAGACTATAAATAAACCTAAATGTTGAACATTAAATTTTGAATTAAAAAGGTAAGAATTACACTACTATTTTGAATTTTTAATTGAATCGTTTACTCGTTATCAATGTTGTTATGGTACTAATATAAATACACAATCCCTAAAGTTAGTATGAGCTATATTCAATAACGATTAAAAGACATACAGTGGAACGAAGGAATGGAATTATTTAATTTGTATCACCCATATCTATATAGAATAAATTATTCCAATTTTCAATGGGTCAATAAAAGTTAAACTCAAAACAGAAAATTGTTAAATATTCATCAACAAATGCCCTTGTCCTTAATATGGAAAAAACCGAAATAAAAACATTTTCAGCATTAGTCCATATTTCAAAATATTTTCAAAATGAAAAATGTTTATGTTTGTTTTAATGTCTCAATAATGCAAAAACCGCTGAACGAATTTTTGCAAATGTTTTTTGTAATTAATAATGTGATTCTATAACTAGTTTACTACAGAGCTAACGCAAGTAATCGATAACGAAAATTTGTAACACAAATCCACCAGATTATGAAAGCAGAGCTAAAAATATAATGTAATGGCGTTTTGAAAGTTAACGTCGCAACGTAACCTGAACAGGGCGGTCAAGTTCTGAGTGAAAATCTCCCTTTATACATAACTAGATGAACCCTGTGCGCTTCGCTACCACTTTTGATTTTATATGCATTCAAAATTTTTTACACGAATATTTGCTGGTTAGAAAAATAAATAAAACAAATACAAACATTTTAAAAACGTGATTATTTTAGTACTTTAATGGGTAAGCAAACAAAAGCTCGCAGGGCAGCTGACCATGAGAAGAGCAGGAACATGCAAAATTTAGTCGCATACACGAAGGGTTTGTCCTTCGGATTTATTAACATGCCAGGAACAGCTGACCATGAGAAAAGCAGGTACCCAAATTTAGTCCGCGGGTTTGTCCTTTAGATTTATTAGTTTCACAGCAAATGCCAAGTGTGTAAGAAACTGCAATCTTTTGAAGTTAAGTGGCACTTCTGTTGCAATTAGAGAATTCGAGGTAGCAACATACTTCCCCGTAATAATCGTATCCTCAATAAAATTGTTGCGTAGTTTTTTACAGTTAGCCCAATACCATTGCAAAGGCGTTGTGGGTCAATGCAAAGGCCGAGAATATACATATATGGGAGTCATATCCAAATCTTAACCGATTTTTAATTAATTTGTCAAATTTATTTTGTAACCAAATTCCGCCACAATTTCTGAATTTCATTTGAATCGGACATACATATCGTGTTTCATGCATAGAATACATGATATCGCCCGAAATATGTATGAGGGAGCTATACCCAAACCTCAACCGATCTCTATATAATGTGACAAATTTTTTGGTACCAAATTTCGTCTCTCTGTCTGAATTTCATTGGAATCGGCTATACATGTCGCGTTGGGTGCAACGGATCGGCCGAAAATATATATGGGAGCTATATCCAAATCTGAACCAATTTCAATATTTGGTACATCAAATACATGAAATCAACCGAAAATGTATATGGGAGCTAAATACCAATCTGAACCGATTTCAATATAATTTGGGAAACTAATTTTTTAGACAAATTCCATTACACATTCCAAATTTCATTGAAACGTGGCGTAAACAGCGTGTTTAGTGCATCAAATACATGAAATCGGACAAAAATATACATGGGAGCTATATCCAAATCTGAACCGATTTCAATGTAATTTGACATGTACTTTTTCCGAATTCGCTGCAAATGTTCTTATAATTTCGCAACCAAAATTCGAAGTGGATTTGAGTATGTTCAGTATGTAGATCAAATCACCAAAAGAGTTTAAGGTTTGTACATGAGTAACTAACTGACCCGGACCGCGTTGCTGGTCCGTAATTCAACATTATTTTTATTTAAATTTTGATTTCATCTTACGATTTTTCAGTTCAAAAAACCTATACTTTGTTCAGAAGTGTTGGCTTGCAACTGAAGTCAATTTAACCATTGATGAAATCTTTTTCAATTTATTTTTCTCAAAGTCACAATATTTAAAGTACTTGTCGTATTCTAATGTGATTGGTATTGAAATTGCTATTTGCTGTAATTTAGTATTAATTGTTGCAAATGAGTTGAATAGTTCTCGGAAATTAGTTAATATAGGTTTTGGTTTTATAAGGGTTTTATATTTCAACAACATTCATTTTTCAGTAAACATCTTGCAAAAAAAGTAAAAGTCAAAATAAAATCAGGATGTCTTCACTAAATAAATTATTTTTAACACCCGCCGACTTTTTGTTTTTTTTTTCTACCGAGGAGCTGATATATATGATATGTTGATGAATCAGTGGGAAGAAAACTTTCTGCTAACAATTATTCAATGTATATCAACTATATGCTTTAGCCTCCATACCACTTAATTTGAAGTTTTTGAATATATATACCCTTTATTATACCCTCAACCATACTATGGAGGGTATATTAACTTTGTCATTCCGTTTGTAACTCCTCGAAATACTCCATTCAGACCCAACAAAGTATATAAATTCTTCATCAGCGTAAAATTCTTAGTCGATATAGCGATGTCCGCCTGTCTGTTGTAATCACGTTATCTTTCAAACGAATTGAGATAGATGGCTAAAATTTTGAACACATGTTTGTTTTTTCAGTAGGCAAGTTAAGTTCGTAAATGGGCCATGTAGGTCCACGTTTTCATAT